ACTGGATGCTGCCACAAGGCAGTGGACACGATTGCAAACATTTCCTGGCTGGGGTTTATCTCACAGTATAATTACCAAAAAAAAAAAAAAAAACAAACAAACAAAAAAAAAAACCAAAAACAAACAAACAAAAAAAACACTCAAGCTTCCTCGCCCTAGTTTTAAATTTTAAAATTCTGGGATAAAGCATCGATTACCTCCATCCGAGTGCAGCTCATCACATCCATATCACATTCTTAGAATTTATCCTTTCTTCAAATCAGAACTTGAATCCTTCAGTCATGCTCCGCTGAGTTGCAAGTGTTGACTTGAAAAAAAAAAAAAGCTGTCCACCCTCTGGACTGTTGTGCGAATGGCATGGAAGGGCGTTTCTTGAAGACTTCCTTAAACACAAGTGGTGGCTTCCGATGAACTGGGTTATTTATGAGTCACATTGCCCTTCTGTAGGAAGTGTAACTTCTGTGCCATGTTGACTGCTAGAGTCAGCTTCTTCACTTTCTCAACTTTCACACAGGGATGTGGGAGAAAGTGCAGAGTAAGATGATAACCACCGATATGTGTTTAGCTCCACTGCAGACTAAGCATTATGTCAAATGAATGCAGAGTCACATTGTGTCATCACAGCATCTGACTTTGCAGGAGAGGAGCTGGGCCATCAGAGTCACGCACATGCTTAAGATCACACAGCTAGTTGGTAGTGACAGACTGGATTCTCTTTCTACCCACTTGCTGGGCTGACACCCACTGGCATGTTTTCCTGTGTGTATCTAGCAATGTTTGTTAGGATTTGGAGCACATGGGGAATAGGCAGAATTTTTCTATCATGTTAGATAATTTTCTACATATAATTTTTCTACATTTTAAATCCTAAACTCAGTTCTCTACTGTCTCAGGCAAGGTCCCACAGAAATACCATTTCCTACTTGAACTCTATAACAGATAAGATAGAACTAATTTTCCCTTTTAAAACCACTTGCAAAAATGAAAGACATTAGCAGAAATCAAAGGCATCACAGTCAAAATCACCTACTATACACGCATCAAATATCAGGTAAGTAAGAATGGAAAATAATATTCATTAATTTCACATGATCTAATCTTGATCTTGATGAAGTTGTAAGGTGGTTATAAAGTTTAACATTACACATAGACCGAAAGGCGACAGTGCAGGGCAGCACAGCATTGGTTTATAATTTTTAGGAGCAGCTATGAGTATTCACAAAAGAAGGGATTATAAAAGGCTGTAGCAGCTCAGTGTGGTTTCTCTGGATGAACTGAACATGAAGAATATATAACAGGAGGGTTGAGAAGGAGTTAAAGGTTATTTTAGAAGGCACAGGGAGACACAAGAGAGAGAGAGTGAAATGCTTTGGAGAAAGTCTGAAGAATGAGGGACCAGAAAACATAGGATGGAAAATCACCTGTTGGAATCAGGATGGATCAGCAAGCTGAGGCATTGATTCTGGAGGACACTCAAAGTCAGGCAGAGTCACATTTGTGAGGAGTCAGGAGCTGCTGTGGGATATGGAACAGTGCACTGTCTTAGTTCCTTTTCTTGTTGCTGGGACACAACACTCTGACAAAAGCTACTTAAAGGAGGAAGGGCTTATTGTGGCTCATTGTTCAAGCACAAAAATCCATCATGGCTGGAAGCCAGAGTGGCAAGAACTTGAAGCAGCTGGTCATACCACACCCACAACCAGGAAGCAGAGAATATGAATGCATGCTGCTCCTCAGCTCCCATTTTTCATGTGTGCAGTCCGGGATCCCAGCCAGGCAACGGTACAACTCACAGTGATTAAATCTCCCCACTTCAATGAACACAATGAATCCCACTTAGGCCCATCTCCCAAGTGATTCTAGATTCTGCCAAGTTGGCAACACAAACCATCATATGCACCTATGTGTATGAGTGTGTCTATCTGTGTGGGGGTATTTGCACATACAAATGGGGGCCTGGGGGAGGTCAGATTCCCTGGAGGTGAAGTTATAGGCAGCTGTGAACAGCCAACCTGAGTTCTGGGAACTGACCTGGGGTCCTCTGCAAGAGCAGCAAGTACTCTTGACTGTCGAGCCCTCTCTCAGCCCCACTATAAAGATATATCAAAAGAAAGTGTGTAAGTAGTACAGAGGGCTGCTGGGAATTGGGGTGAGGGACGGAAAAGGTCCACAAAGAGATTTCGCTAACGGAGAGTAGCTATCAGGGGTCGTCAAAGGACAAGTAGGAATTGGTACCTGGCTGTGAACTCTAACAGGAGTGTGGCATTGTTTACAGGAAAGTTGGAAAGTTTGCAAGTATTTGCATATGCAAGGTGTTTTAAAATAGAGCCGGTGGATGGTGAGGCATTAAGTGAAATTGCCCTGGTGAGAGTTGGAGGTAGAAGACAGAATCACAAACAGAAAGTGAGAACACAGAGAAACTCAGCAAACTGTTAGCTATTCTTACACACCCCTTGTTCAGACACTTTGCAGTAAGAGTGTGCTTTTCTCAGTCGGTCTGGGAACAGAGTTTCTTTGTGTAGCTGTCCTGGCTGTCCTTAAACTCTGTAGACCAGGCTGGCCTCAAATTCAGAGACCCACCCACCTCTGCCTCCCAAGTGCTGGGATTAAAGGCCTGTGCCACCATGCCCAAATCTACTTCCTGAATCTTAATGAGCTTCTGGCCAAGATGGATTGCTTTATCTCAGAGGAAACCGCTATGCTGCGTGAGCTCTTTAGATATTGCTGTGTCAGAGACAGACCTGACTGCTGATGTCACAGAGCACGATGTCTTTAGAGAAGGTGACATTAACTTTCAGTGTTTTCCACTGAGTGTAGCGGGTATTGTTAGAGGAGATATACAGGTACTGAGAGAGGTTTAACAGGCAGGGCCAGTAGGGCCTCACTGAAGAAGCAACATTTAAGCTGAAACTAGCATACATTTGGTTCTGATATCAGTGAGATCTGGCGGGAAATTAATGGCGGCTTGTATAATTTGAGGGAACACGCCATCAGTTGTAAACACATGAAATATAAGTAAGGTAGAGACTATAATGCACCCGGGATGAGCATCATTCCAGACATTGAATGAGAGAGGAGAGGTTATCAGAACTGGAAATAGACCGTCTGGAAAAGCCTCTTCAAGAATTAGCTGAGTTGGTACTTAGAAGTCAATGCCAGCCTATGTTAGTCCCAAGGAAGAAGCTGGGGAAAGAGTTACCCTGACCTTCTACTTTTTCCTTCTGAGCTCCGTAGCATCTCCTCTTGAATAGAACCCAGAAGGCAAGAGGATTCATTGATGTATTCTCTACAGATTGGTGGCCTGGGGGCCAAGCACAGGGGGAAGGTAGGGAAAAGGACTTGGAAGGTCACTTGGGAGACAGCAGGTGCACACTTCAGTACAGGTGATGGGGATGAGGTCAGAGAAGCAAGCCAGATGTGGTCTGAGCAAGGAAGGCTTTGTGAGCCTTGGTAATGATTTTGGATTTACATCAACTTGATCTAAAAACTTAAGAGTTTTCTACTTTTATTAACTTTGTTCTCTGAAGATTGCAGACATGCACATAACACATTCTGGTTCCCCTCACTCCACCCTCTCATAGTCGCCTCCCATCCCCATAACCACTTCTTCACCCCAAGCCCCATTTCTATTTATTTGACTTTTTGTTTTACGACTTAAGTGAATGAAAAAAGACATAAAAGGAGGAGGACCTGACCACGCCTAAAGTTTGGAGAAGGTTTTTATCGTAGATACAAGGGAGAAAGCAGGCAGAGGGAGGAGTCCACGCTCAACATGGCTGCAGACTAAACCAGACCACGAGGGGAGAAAGAGGGAGGGAGAGCAAGGGGGGCCACTGACCAAGAGGAGGTCCAGGCCAAAAGGCCAAGAGTTCAAAAGAGCCGCATAGCCAAAATGGCGGAGTTATATAAGGATCAGGCTGTAGCAAGAGAAGCAGAAGCCCAGCCCCTGGGAGGGAGAGGTTTAGGGTAGGGTAAGGGGTGGGGTGAGAAGTGCTGGGAGGAGCCACAGGTACCGAGTGATTCTGGGAGAGCTGGGAGGAGCCACAGGTACCGAGTAATTCTGGAAGAACTAGCCAGTGAACGCTTTGACATGTTACTAGGCACCTCTGCTAGCCATTTGTCCTTGGTTCCGGAGAGCGAACACTAGTGAGTTTAGTCATCTGCACCTCACACTTGTACTGTTAGTAGTAACTCTGACTAGAGGATGAACATTGTAAGTTTACTTTGATATCCTGGCTACGAGAACCTGCCTTTCCCACTTCAGGGCCACTGGAGCTCCCTTGTCCAAGGAAAACGTCTCAGAGGGGATGAGGATTTCCTTCACTGGAGTGGTCCACTGGAGGAGGGCTGACTTAGGGTTTCTATTGCTTTGATGAAACACCATGACAAAAAAGCAAGTAGAGGAGGAGAGGGTTTATTTGGCTTACACTTCCATATCACTGTTCATCATCGAAGGAAGTCAGGACAAGAACTCAAATAGGGCAGGAACTTGGAGGCAGGAGGTGATGCAGAGGCCATGGAGAGGAGCTGCTTACTGGCTTGCTCCCCATAGCTTGGTCTGCCTGTTTTCTTATATAACCCAGGACCATCAGTCCAGGGATGGCACTACCCACAATAGAGTGGCCCTCCCCCATCAATCACTAATTAAGAAAATGCCCTACAGGCTTGCCTGCAGCCCGATCTTATGGGAGCATTTTCTTAATTAAGGTCCCTTCCTCTCAGATGACTTTAACTTACGTCAAGTTGACATAAAGCACAAGGACCCAAGGACCCAAAGGAGATGTACTGATGAGCTCACTTTGAGTGCCTTCAGCTTGCAGTGCTGCTGGGTCTGTGCTGGAGGGCTCTTTCTCACTGGAGGCGCACACTTATCAGAGCAGTTCAGCGGTAATTGAGAGTGGGGGATCAATAGGATTCTCCAGAACCTACATGTAACCTTGAAAAAGAGTTAGGAACCCCAGAACTCAAGACATTGGTAGAGAAGGTGCTGTAGCCTTCAATGGAGAGAGGAAGTAGGAGTTGATGGAAAGGAAGAGGGGAGGAGGACACCCCCATAACTATTTAATTGACAACTGAATCCTCTAGTATCCCCTAAGTAGTCAGAGCAGGCTTTTGTATCTAGGATACAAGGATGCATTTAGTAAGGTCATTTCAAGTAAGAAGCAAGTCCGTGCTGACGTGTTTAGGCTCTTGTCATACCCTCAGAGATATGAGACCCTTCCACAAAAATATAGAATAGAATTTGCTTTATGAAGACTTTTTTGCTTGCAGGTGGTGTTTCTATGAAGATGCTATTCAAAGCCAGAATGTGCCAGATGGCTATGAAGAGAGGTCTAACATACTTCACAGAATTTGAAACTCTTGACATAAATTAATCAACTTTTCTTTCCTTCATGGCCAAATTCAGACTATTAAAAAGTAATTAAGAATGTTCTGAAGCATATACTTCATTAGAGTTCTTCTAACAGAATATTTGAATGTTAGGATGATAAAATTAAATAAATAACGGCCAGCTACCTTTCTGTCCAAATCAGTTGGATATGGAATAAAGATTTCATAGCTTAAGTATAAGAAATTGATCATCCAAATTGATGATAGAATACCCCTCAATGTGGCATTTTTACCATATTAGATATCAAATTAGGCATATTATTTCTAAAGGTAATACATCTCACAGAAATTGGGAGTGAGGCTGTGTCCAAGTTTTATTAAAGTCCTTTCTGAGAAAACCAGCAATAAATAATACTGATTCCACAAGGGCTTACAGGAAAAGCATGTAAATGAGTTGACTGCAAATTAAGATATTGTTTGTGTCCATGAGGTAGTTTGAATGAAGAGGCCCCTATATGCTCATTACATATTTGCATGCTTGGTCCCTAGTTGGAACTGTTTGGGGAGGATTAGAGAGGGTGTGGACTTATTGGAGGAGGTATGTCACTGGGGGGTAGGCTTTGAGGTCTAAAATACCCATACCAGGTCCATTCTTGCTTTCTCTGTCCTCTACTTGCTGAGGAGATGTGAGCTCTCAGCTGTTGTTCCAATGCCATGCCTGCCTGCTTGCCGCCATGCTCCCTGCCATGATGGTCATGGACTCACCCACGGAAAGCAAGCCCCTGATTGAATGCTTTTTTTTTTTTTTTTTGTGAGTTGCCTTGATCATGATCCCAGCAATCAAACAGCAACTAAGACAGTCCACATTACAATCTGGGATTAACTATTCTTTCTGTTTTGTAGGTTAGCTTCCAGCTCACAGAAATGCAAAGCCGTTGAACTTTTCCCTCAGTAACAGATTGCGAAGTAAACGAGCTTCGACAAGCAAGTGCATTTCCCAGGAGTGTCAGACTAAGGCTCAGTTGAAAATGCTCTCCCGTGCTCCCCCTGCCCTGCCCACAAAGCTAGCTACATTGTCTCCTTTCTTTCTTCCCACATTCCATAACTTTTTCTTTCACGGTGCTATTAATAAATGACCATGTCATTTCACACTGCCCTTTCTAAGGAGAGATGCGTGTTCAGATGCCTTTGTATCATGCAAGACTCAGTCTTCCATAGTTCTGAAACTCATCAGCAGCTCTCTGTCCAAGTCAGAGTCAGAATGCCGAGGGGGGCTTCAGGAAATTTATTACGTTTATTGAAACAAGCTTTCTTTCTTTCTTTCTTTCTTTCTTTCTTTCTTTCTTTCTTTCTTTCTTTCTTTCTTTCTTTCTTTCTTTCCTTTCCTTCTTTCCTTCCTTCCTTCCTTCCTTCCTTCCTTCCTTCCTTCCTTCCTTCCTTCCTTCCTTCTTTCTTTCTTTCTTTCTTTCTTTCTTTCTTTCTTTC